GTTACTCGGTATAATCAATTTTGTCAAGTCCAGATTTATCAATTCGTTTATTTTGGTACAAGTACGGTGTCAACAATCCTATTGAATGAAAATAAAATATATCACGTTATAAATTGATATCGCCGATTACGTGAAAATGTTGCTTAAAATAAATAGTTGCATGTCAAATCAATTGTGTTATTTTGAGATCATTATTCTTTTAACTGTTTGCAGAGAGTTGATTCCACTTCGTCAGGAATTGACAACAAAGAAGCGACGTTACGCGCGAAAAATAGCATGGGAAAATCGAGAATTAACCGACGACACGATTCCAGATTTAGCTCGGGAATGCTCGGAACTCTTCTGCATTTCAAATTGAAAGGCTAGGCGGAAGAATCGTCTAGTGGAAAATGGGAAAAAGGTCGGGCGCGATATCGAGCTAAACGGGATGACGTGAGAAAGCGAGGGAGGTTGCGAGAGGGAGAATAGGAATTTTACTCGAGGCGTCAAAGTCATCGCCAAGGTGTAGCGAATTTGATCTATCGGCAATGACGTGGTAGGCAGTGAAGAAAAATTGGATTTTAATCGAAGTTGAAGGAAAACATAGGGAGAAAAGAATTGTAAAATCGTCTTTCTCATTATCTTGAATCTATTCATCTTTTTGTAATTATCGAATTATCTCTGATCATTCTATAGCTGAATCAGCCTTTGATCGGCTTATAATATGATCGCATGTATGTGAAAAATTAATGTTCACGCTTAATATTACATAAATACAATTTCTCTGTTAATAATATCTAATAATAGAATCAATTAAATATTACAAAAGCCAATTAGCGAGTAAAATTAATGATCGCAAGCGACTAATATTAATTCCTGGATTGCATTCGCTAGTTTACATGATAAAGGTTTGTTGTATAGTTATATAGTATTGAAGAGATTATTTGATGATTGAGGAATAATTTTGTTGCAATTTAAATGTATAAAATATTTTAGTATTTTGTAAAAAAAATACTGACGTTAAACCAGAAAGTAATCCGATTAGCGTTTTATATTTTTGACGCTTTTTATATTTGAAATATAAAATAAAATGATATTCTACAATAAAATTTTACTATAAAATTTTGCAATCTCCGAAATTAAAGACGTATATCACATAAAATCAAATATTGAGAAGAGAGAAATTGATTTACAGTCTCGTTTATGCGCTGATGAGACACATTGTGATTAATTTTCTTGCAAGTTAGGCAAATTGTCACTGAGCGCTATATGTCTATATGGATAGGCCATGTAAGTAATGCGAGCGATGCCGAAATCATTACCAAGTCAAATATTGAACTTGGCTAATTTGTTATCGGCGAGAAAGTAGAGCGACGTGTAGAAATCTCCCTTGCCGGTAAATTTGCCCTAGTTACCGAAGTTATAACGTTGTTAAACGCCCCTGGTCGACTTATGAGAGCTGCCCCCGCTGAAGAAAATGTATAGATCACTCTCGAACGGATTCTCGTCCATGAAAATAGGCGTTCGGAATAATAAAGGGTTTTTTTCGGAAGTACTTTGCAAGGCGAAGTTTACGCGATCACGCCTGAGGTATTGCAGTCGAATATTAAATCGAACATGATCTAGAGTAGCTTTTAAAAAAATTTTTAAATTATTAATCATATTTTATGATACACTTTCTCGATGTACAGTTATCTTTCTTATTCTTCTTCACTTATCTTCACTTTATTATTTTATAAATTCGTAATTACTTATGTAATTATATGAAAAAAATTTTCATTGCGTTACAAAAAATTGAAGAGTTTTATTAGAAAGTTTTATTACACTTTTGCATATCTTAGCTGATATAACGCAAATGTGATTTGCATATTTAAAATATGTTACGAGTTTCTTTGGTGGAATAATAAATCTTGTAAGAACACGAAGTACGGTGATTCAAATCTAGCAAACTATCTTGACTAACTTGGAGGCGATTTTTCGCCAATGCTTGATTTAAATTTATCGAAATTTATTATTAAATTTTCTCAAACTTATTAAGAGTATCGTTCTATATTTTTGAAGAATTGGTCTCACAATATAAATTTATACGTTATTTCTAATGTATTTTTAATTCATGAGTTTAATTAATTGGTATATTTAAAATAATAACATGCGTGTATTCACACACTCCGAATGACGTGGAATGAAATGATTTGCTCGCAAACAATGGGAGCCTTTGTGCATCTTTAGAAGTCATTCGGAGCTCGCCGGACACCTTTTAGAGAATCTCAACTACGACAGTCGCGGAATTGCTATTCGCGCAAAGGACAGAGAGCAGAGGTCCTTGAAACCGTCTCGAGATGGCGGCCGACTATACCCGACGCCAGCACTTATCGTTGTGTAACTGTTTGCTCAACCACGAAGACAGACCATTTACCATAACGAGGGAAACGCCAGCAGAACCTGGTACCGGCAAAAGCTCGCAACAATGGTCGCTCGCTTGCCCTTCCCTTTGCTCTCCAATCTAAGTCTACCACCCTTCCTTTATATCTGCCTTGCAATCTTGCCTTTTACCGTTTTCTTCGTTTTTCAAGATCTTATTTCCGTTAATTCAACGCTCGGTGAAAGCCTTTTGATCACGTTAAAGCTTAGATCCTGACGAATCACACTGTTGTGCGATCTTGTTAGCAATAGACGTATCACGTTATATTATGAAGTATACTTTTAAACTAGACAACTATTTTATAGATCTAACGCGTGGAAAACATTTTTAAATCGTGGTCGGAACATTTGTGTTAACAGTGTTCTACGTGCTAGGTGTTCCTCGTCGTTTCCTCCGCTTCTACGACCTTTCGTCCATTAAGTCGTCTCTCGAGGAAGTCGTTACCACGAGGAAGGTGTAAGAGTAATGGCGCTGACCTTTTGTAAAATATGACATAGTCGTATATGCAACGATGACACGAGTATACATGCATTTTCCATGTTTAGTGTGATATAGAGCTGGCACTATCAAGTTAATGAATGCTTAAAACGCATTACAAAACAGCTTTAAAGAAACGGATTATTTGAATAGCTGAAAACGAAGGAAAAGAATGAAGCTTTTAAACGCGTTCGAGCGAATAGGAGATTCCCGTATAAACACGCGTGTTGCGTCGCGGAGGTGCAAACGATAAATTTAAAGCACGTACATCATCGCAGATCGCATTACAGCGAAGATGGAGATACGGGGTTTCTTTATTGCGGGCGTTACGGAAACATCAATAATCTCGGGAACTTCTTAAGCGGCTTGAACGATCTTCTCGGAAACCATAGCGCTTTATATACCGATAATCGATACACGGAGAAAGAGTTTCGTTGAGAATTCCGAGAAGTTTCGCGTAGTAAAAAAGACACTCCATTCAAATATCTCTTCACGCAAATCAACGGTCGTCTTTGATAAAAATTACCGAAGCGTTCTGGTTTGGGTGCTGAATCTATTCCGGAAAGTTTTTCGATTTGGCTTCTTCGATGTTTTCAGCGTCTTTGATATTTCTTTTAGCTCGCTTTTTTATAATGTTCATGTTTGAATAAAGATTTTGATTTCATGATGGCTAAAGTCGAGATAACTGAGATATTTTAATATTTCCATGAATAAACAACAATTATATGATTTTCAATGCCAGTTTCCGTAAACAATAAACGTATTAATCTCATTATAAATGATACATTATGAGATATTGCATAGCACGGCGTGAATACGCGATTTATATCAAATAAAATGGATGAAACTCTAAACAAATAATACAGCAAATTAACGATACGGTATACATCTCCATTTGATATTATTTGTTAAAAATAGACAGGAAATTTGAAAGATTATATTATAGCCATTTTCCATTAAAACACGATATAATTCTTCCCAAAAATCGAGTATATATGATATGTAAATAATTTTATGTAGTGCATTATATATAATAGTTTCTATACTTATAAACACGGCAATCAAATTTTTGCTATCATAAATTTTTAAAAATATTCTAGATATTTAGCATATATAGAGAATATAAAGCGATCGATACACTGCTTGCCGATCAATTTGTCGAGCTATACGGTGGCTTATATGGCTCGAGGTAATGAGGGGGCTGTTTTCCGAAGGTGGCGCGTCTTTTAGTGTAAAATCGCTCCGTTCTGCGCGCCAGTGACCCGTGGAAGGGATGAAGGAACCGAAAGAGAGAGAGGAGGGGGGGGGCGGCTCAAGGAGGCTTCCGCGGGATGCAATTTATCCTGTCGCATTAGATTCAAAATAATTGATCCCCCGGGCGGATGGAGAATAGCGAGTCATTACTTCAGAGTGATAGCACCCCCATTGCAGTGCAGGTTGGAGGAAAATAAAAACTCGGAAATCACCTGCTCCCGATGAAAAATTTGACAGCCGAGAAGGAGCGGGCTAAGAAGATAGAGAGAAAGCCGCCAGGCGCGGTAAGGGGGGGCGAAGTAAGAATAGCACCACTGCGGAATGGGCTTTCCGCAGCTGCAACAGCCCTGAATTCGCCCGGAAACACATCGTTTGACTTCTCGTGCAGCTGACTGCACAGGACTTTGTCATTGGTCTGTCATTTCGTCCGCAAAAAATTACACGGTTGTTCTAGCTCGAAGAATACTTCATCGACATCTTACAGTAATCAATATACATTTCAATTGCTGATTAATCGATTGCTCGCTGCAATACTCGTCAAAATATGAAATCATAGAAATAAGAGTGAAGCGAATATGTATTCTTAGTAAAAAATAAACGCGACTTTTTTCGATAAGAAGATTAGTTGAGTTGTACAAAATTGATACTGAAAAAAGAAAAATCTGTGAAGTTTCCGATGTTGTTCATTTTTATCTGCAAGATAAATTGGGACGCATATTTAAGTTTTTACAATTCTAAAGTAATTTGATATAATCTCATGCATTGCTTTCATACGTGCACATAACGTGTGCGTATAATTGTGAATGTTTCCATTCACAATTCCGTTCGTAATATGTATTTAATCTTTATTATTATAAATCGTACTTACGTATATCGAATGAGTGGACATCCGCAATCGGGCCAAACAGCATTAGCAATGCTGTATATAACTTAGCGATTATTGATAAATAATCGGTCTTCATGTTCTCCGTTGAGTGATGACTTCATGAGAGCATTTGACGAATAGCTGCAAACACAAAAATATCTATATTAATGCGTGCACATTTTTTTAAAATTATATTTTAGTTAGCAGTATTATTTTGGCAGCACATTTGTTGCTACAAATAATGCTTGTTAAGAGAGATAGAGTCCTCGAAAACTCTCGAGAATTCTAGTTTGATTCCGCCAATCTCCGGAATCAATATTTAAAGCAGAGAAGACGGACACTTGGCTCCTCGTGCGAGGACGTGCCTCGGAAGTCCGCGCGGTATTGCCTGCCTTCCAATTTGCTGCCATTGTTTTCGGGCCGGATAAAACCTTCGATCGCCGTTCGGTCACGTTTCTACGAAGCACCCCAAGGAAATTTTAAAACCGCCTCTCGAAATATTTTCTGTCCCAGCGCCTGAGGTGGAGGGTCAAGTAAAAAGGAACTTAATCGACTTAAGAGTAAAACTACACGCGTCTACGTATTCCTTTTTCTTGGCACAATCCTGGACGACCAGTCAGCCCTTGGTGGTTCTCGTGCTACGTGCGTCGCCTAAAGAAAATATAGAGAGACCCACTCGAAATCGAGTCCCCGTTCAATTAGTCCAACCTTGGTGGGAGGATATGGCCTCAGAAAGAAAGGATAATCAGAGTGAATAAAAGAATGAACTTGTTTTAATGAAAATCTTAAAAGCGTTAAAAAAAGATAGATAACATTTTGAAAGAAATTTGCAATATTCAAATGTATATACATTTCGCAAATGTTTTATAAAATGTGCTATTTTATTAAATGTGCTAAAATTCTGATCGAACGTGATTAACATTGATCACATAAGTGCAAATGGAGTAAAATAGAAAACATATATTTAAAAAAATGTTATTTCTTGGTCCGTTCAATTTTCAAACAATAGAATAATAAGTGTTTGCTAGAATTCAAATTACGGGAAATAATTTTTAAAATAGTAAGGTTCTATTGGAAACGATTTCTGACAGATATGTTGAAGGGAAGAAAATATGAAAAAAAAATAATCTTCCAATATTACTATCACACACACACGTACATCGATCTGCAACCAGGGCAAGAGGAATTTTTTTCGTTTCGTTTTATGGTTATTACGGTCAAGCATGGGCTTTAACACTCACGCAGATATCGCACGTAGCACCTTCCTTTCCCATCGTGAAAATAAGAAAAGCGACTTGCCTCGTCTCGACTAGACACAGAGTAATTAACTGCACGATGAGTAATCGATCGCGAATGGAAGGTTCGAAACTAAGTTGCTGGACGTTGTGCAGCTTCCACGACACCGACTTTGTAGCTGAGTGTCCACGCGAAAGGAATTCACATCAATCGACATTAATTAATCACTTTTGCACGCGATGCTGCGTCGTCACGCGATTTAATATCTCTAACTCGACCGGCAATTTATCCATAATAAATACCTCGAATTTTTTTGGTCTAGCGCCCTATCGGGGAAGCAATGAGGCACATATATAGACGATACTCCAGTTAGTTATTAACGTTTATTATTTGAATCTATGTCGATCTCTCGGCATATAAAAGATGAAGTTTAACGAGTATTTAAAACTCATCGAATAATGCTCGGAACAAGAATGAAAATAAATTCCACGATGAGAATAGATAGAGCGCTAGTACGTACAAAATTTCTGCGGCTCAAATCAATCCGCTTACTCGAGTTGATGCAGACACGAACGGGTTTTGTTTACGAGTATGTAGGTAAACGTGAATAAACCGCGGATGTGATCGTCATATTTACAAATGTTTATTTATGTATTCTACTATTAGAGAAGCGGGTATCAATAATAATGTATCGGGCAAAGGATCGAACAATGAGACGATAAATATTAATTAATATATATGACAATTTCGTGCCATATTTGCGATCACAAAAATTGTCGCAACGGTACATTATTAAAAACATAGCAGTGATGATTTCTATTTATTTTGATAAGTTATAATAAACACGGAATCACGTGATTATACATAAAACGCACGTTGTTTTATTACGTGATTTTCCGCAATTTGGCTTATAAATGCTATTTATCTTTTCTCTTCTAAAACGTTGTGCAAATATATGTCAACAGTTTGTGTACGGTATTTATAACGAGTATAATTAAATTTGTTTTGCACGTCGATCCAATATTATATGAAGATTTTGCCACTTACAAATAATTTCGCGATCGATTTATTGCGTTTTGATGGATTGTAAATGCAATCTGACGCCGCGGTTATAACCGTACGCCTATGCGTTTCTTGGCGCACCGGGACATGTAGCATTGCTATCGACATAGCGTTAATTAGTGCACACTTGCGACCCGATGTTACCGAAATACCATTAACGGCCCTCGCACGGAGAGCGCGGTGCGCGGTATTGCCCGTTTAGATCGCGTTTTCTGCCTGCCGCAAATAATTAGCAAACGGCTGGTCCTGTGCGCCACTATGGCGATTTGGACATTGGAGGCGTAAATTAGGACGGCGTCTACCTAGACGCGTTTGCCGATAATTTAATTGATTATTGACGTACGCACATACACACGTGCATCCGCACATCGATCTGTACGTGTTCTCGGACGATGTGTTTGCTCTCTTACGCTCTAAGATGTACGAACAGAGCGGCCGCTTTGTTAGAGAATTTAGATCAAAGCCGGGGGTGCACGCATCTGTCAATAGCAGAGACCTGATAATTAAATCGGCGCCAATTTATACATGTAATAGTTCACAAAGCGCCGGACTAATTGATATATCATTCCAAAAGCGCGATCTGTATTAATATATCGTGGAAACTCCGCTAATTACCTCATAATGACCGCAATTTTCGTCCAACGCGAAAACAATTGTTGATTGTTTCGAAGAAATATCGAGCAAACGTTTCGATAAAATAAACAAAAAAAAAAGAAAAATAACACGCAATAAAAAATATTAAAAAAGTATGAAATCATTTTGATCGTTGAGAATTTTCATTACACTTATTGGCTGTATCTATTAAGGCGAGCGAAAACTTAATGAGTACAGTGATTTTCGTTACATCTGCGCATATAGTGTAACAATATTGTATACTCAGCCATATATTATCTAGTTTATAGCGGCATAATTAACCACATAATGATTGCTTAATCCGCTTGTAAGCTAATAACAACCTAATGCTAATTTACGTTTCGACGTGATGCCATAACTACGTTTATCTGTGAGTGATTAGTTAATTTTAAATTAGCCCGCTTGATGTTTGCCAATATACACCTCATTCATCCTATTGGTTATACACGTACGCGCCTTCGTGTATAGATACGTTCAAAGGGATCTCTAGCAGCGCAATATCGATCGTATAATATGACGGCTGTACCTCGTTATCTTGTACGCGGTATGTCGATACCTCGTGATACACTTAATTGAAGACATTTCGGCTCATTAGCTATGCTGGTTGGTCGTCCCGAATTTCGTGATTAAGCGTTACCTTTGCATGTGTCATCTATTGCAGCGAATCATCGCATGCGATAGCCCAAATGTCAAATCGTTTGATCATAGAGATTATAGTGATTTATTTTTAAAGCAACAGAGTAAATTAAAATTAAACATGCGCAACTTATCTCCATCTCATTGCAGTAATTGATTCAAAACAATGATACTTATATGATTATTAATTATAATTATAATTGTAGAATAATTAATATTTTTTGAGTCAAAATCAATATCACACAATTTTCTAATTTACAAAATTTAATTATAAAGTATTAATCAATGAAAAATATAAGACTATGTTGCATTGTGCACATTGTTAAACTGATGAAACAGTTTATTTGTTAGAAAATGACAAGGAGCATCTTGCAAAATGTTTCACGACCGAGAGATAGTTTTCTAAAGACTTTTCCGTAATGACAAGAACTTCGGAGCAATTTCTTCGTGCTGCCGTAGCAAAATACATTCGAGATTTTATGGTTTTCGATAGCTGGAGTCAGTGAAACTTGCGGATCGTGCGAGGTGAACGTTCGAAATCCCAAAGGATAAGTCAAGGTAGATGTTTGCTTTAAACATCTGAGAATATCAGTTTGAGTTTGATATGTAGTTGATCATTGACTGTATATTATTATTAAACATTGCACGTCTAAATTTGCGGTCAGATGTTCATTTAACGCTTAAATATCCCGCTATATTGTTTTCAAGTTTTCCCGATTGCATAATTATTTATTAATAAATAATAAACATTCCTATATTATAAAAGTTCAGTAAAACATGATACTAAGTCATCGTTATAACTCGGCTACCCGCGAAATAACGAATCGCTCGGTATGAGTTTGTGTGGTAGAAAATTGTAGCGAGGATAAATTACTTAACTTTAGTTAGCCACCAGCTCTACCTAAGGCTACCGTAATTCCCATAAGAATCCCATTTAGACTTTCAGTGCTCGTTTATTCTAATGCCGGTGCGATGTATACGGGAGCGCCCTGTTCTCCATGCTTCGATGTACATTTAGAATCTTTAGCTTATTGTGCCTTTGCGCAATACAGAAATTCCGTTTTGCACATCCGGGCAAACGAAAATCGATAAATGCACTCACGAAAATTACAATACGCGCAAATTAAACGTATTTTTTAACACGAGTTTCGCTTGTTTGAGAAAAATAAGAATATGTTATTTGAGAAAAAAAGAATATTGTTATTTGAGAAAAACAAGGATGAAATAGCACTCTTTCAAAATCCATCTTTCTGTACTTGAAAGGAGACTCGAATAAAAATAGCAGCACAAAAGAATGTCATATATAGTTTTGTAAAAGCTATCAATCGCATGAGGGAGTTCTTGACGCTGGCTTCTTCCATAAGAAGATACTTGAACGGACTCGATCGAGAGAATAACGGAATGTGTTTTCCGCGTGGCGAGTCGGCGCGCGTATTGCAGAGGAAAATCGTAAGAATATCTTTTCCTGATATTATCGAAAGTTCACATATCTACCGCGGGTCGTGCGATCGAAACGACCGCGGAAGTGCTGCGCAATATACACACGTATATCTCTGCGTGTTACCGGGGGTTGA